AAATAACCCCAACTATACGTATAGTATGATGGGGGGCTAATTTGGCTACGACAAATCAGGAAAGAGATCTTGGAGTTATCGTGGACAGTTCTCTGAAAATTTCCACGCAGTGTGCAGCGGCGGTCAAAAAGGCAAATAGGATGCTAGGAATTATTAGGAAAGGGATAGAAAATAAGACCCAGAATATCTTACTGCCCCTGTATAAAACTATGGTACGCCCACATCTTGAATACTGTGTACAGATGTGGTCTCCTCACCTCAAAAAAGATATTTTGGCCTTGGAAAGGGTTCAGAAAAGGGCAACTAAAATGATTAGGGGTTTGGAACGGGTCCCATATGAGGAGAGGTTAAAGCGACTGGGACTTTTCAGTTTAGAAAAGAGGAGACTGAGGGGGGATATGATAGAGGTCTATAAAATCATGAGTGGTGTGGAGAGGGCCAATAAAGAAAAGTTATTTATTAGTTCCCTAAATAGAAGAACTAGAGGACACCAAATGAAATTAATGGGTAGCAGGTTTAAAACTAATAAAAGAAAGTTCTTCTTCACACAGCGTGTAGTCAACCTGTGGAACTCCTTGCCAGAGGGGGCTGTGAAGGCTAGGACTATAATAGAGTTTAAAGAGAACTAGATAATTTCATGGAGGTTAGGTCCATAAAAGGCTATTAGCCAGGGGATAGAAATGGTGTCCTTGGCCTCTGTTTGTCAGAGGCCGGAGAGGGATGGCAGGAGACAAATCGCTTGATCATTGTCTTCGGTCCACCCTCTCTGGGGCACCTGGTGCTGGCCACTGTCGGTAGACAGGATACTGGGCTAGATGGACCTTTGGTCTGACCCAGTACGACCGTTCTTATGTTCTTAATGTTGTTTTCGTAATATGAACTGGGTACCCAGAGTTTTGAATATACATGTTTTCTATTAATTTCAAAATCAAAATACCGTAAATACTTATTTTTTTCAGAAGTATGCAGCACTGCCCAGTGGCATAGAACCAGTTGCTGAAGAATAGCAATGCAGGAACACATGTGGACTGAGGTAAAGGTGCTAAGCTAGTCTTAGTTCAATAACTGTGCTTTTAATAGGTTTAAACCCTCAACATTAAAAATATTTCAACATGGTCTCAGGGTCATGTACCTTTCATTATTTAGTTTTGCCATTACCCTGTAATAGAGTCATGGTGTTTTTTCACTCTGTTTTGTGGTAATTTCACATGCAAATACAACAGCCAGTATATAGATCGATCAAAAGACCCAAAATGAAAGTGAACAGACAACTATGTTCAAATTTTCCCAGAAAAAAGAGCTCTGGGGGTCTTGTTAGTTTTAGTTCAGCACTGCCCTCAATCCTTATCTTGAGGTGAGAATTTCCTTCCCTCCCTGAACTTTTTAGACCAGGTTGGGCAATACTTTTTGCAGAGGTGGCCACTTCAAGAATTTTGGTACATGGTCTCTGGACGGCTCTGGACCCCCCACCAAAAGGGGTGGAGTTGGAGCGCTACAGAGAGAGATAGAGAAAGAGAGTATGCGAGTGTGAAAAATACTGTACTGTGTGTGTGAGAGATTCTGTGACATAGATTCAGTGTGGGGCACAGAGACAGCGTGGCACAGATTGCATCTGTGTGACTGATTGTGTGTGTGGCACAGAGACAGCGTGGCACAGATTGGGTCTGTGTGACAGTGAGACAGAGTGTGTATGCTGACTGTTGCTGGATAAGTTTCTGAGAGAAGTCACACACTGTCTCTTTAAGAAAGGGAAAGCTGTCCTGCTCTGTTGTCTCCCCACTCTGCAGAGATAGGATATGGGGAAGGGGAAGAGAGAGAAACAGTCTTAAGATACGCAGTCCTCTGAGTCACTTAACATCTAGACAGATTGGAGTAGCTCCACTGTATGTCTCCTTCTCCCCAACCCCTGCTCAATGACACCCTGACTTCAGCATTACCCTTTACCCCTCTTCCCACACAGTCTACAAAGCTAGCAGGAAAGTCCTGGAAGCAGCTGAGCTGCAGGACGGAGCAAGATGGGGGGAGGGGCAGCTGAACACACACTATAAGCATACATGCTCTGCTAATCCACTGGGTGGGTGGGAGATAAATGCTTGGTGGGGTGGATTTTGCCCACCCCTGTTTTAGATAGTGCTCTTCTGGCCCTAGTTAGAAGAGGACCTTGAGTGAAACTCAACTAAAGCCAAGTTTTACCACTGCCCAGCTTGCGAAGTAACAAGAGCTGTATCTTATTCTAAAAAAATTTTAACATTATTTTATGTTTAAACTGGGAAAATTAAAATATGAAAATAAACCTCAAGGCTTTTGTGCAATAATTTTCAATACTGAAGTCAGAGGAAAAAAGGTCATGTCTTCATATGACGTATGTTGAGAAACTAACACAGCAGGGCACACACTATCCAATAAGTTCTTGGACTGCACTGAAGACAACCTTTTACTTCAGAAGGTTGAAAAAATGACTAGGGGGGAAGCTGTTCTAGATTTGATTTTAACAAATAGGGAGAAACTGGTTGAGAATTTGAAAGTGAAAGGCAGCTTGGGTGAAAGTGGTCATGAAATCATAGAGTTCATGATTCTAAGGAATGGTAGAAGGAAGAACAGCAAATAGAGACAATGGACTTCAGGAAGGCTGATTTTGGTAAGCTCAGAGAGCTGGTAGGTAAGGTCCCATAGGAAGCAAGACTATGAGGAAAAACAACTGAAGAGAGTTGGCAGTTTTTCAAAGGGACATTATTAAGGGCCCAAAAGCAAGCTATTCTGCTGCATAAGACAGAAAGTATGGCAAAAGACCACCTAGGCTAAAGCAGGCGATCTTGCATGATCTAAAAATCAAAAAGGGGTCATATAAAAAGTGGAAACTAGGACAAATTACAAAGGATGAATATAAGCAAACAATACAGGTACGCAGGGGCAAGTTTAGAAAGGAAAAAGCACAAAACAAGCTCTAACTAGCTACAGACATAAAGGGAAACAAGAAGACTGTCTATAAATATATTAGAAGCAAGTGGAAGACCCAAGGACAGGACAGACCCATTGCTCAGTGAGGAGGGAGAAACAGTAACAGGAAACTTGGAAATGGCAGAGGTGCTTAATGACTGCTTTGTTTTTGTCTTCAGCAAGAAGTCTGATGATGAAGGAATACCTAACATAATGAATGTTGTTGGGAATGGGGTAGGTTTAGAAGATAAAATAAAAAAAGAACAAGTTAGAAATCACTTAGAAAATTCAGATATCTGCAAGTCACCAGGGCCTGATGAAATGCATCTTAGAATACTCAGAGCTGATAGAAGAGGTATCTGAGCCTTTAGCTATCATCTTTGAAAAATCATGGAAGACTGATTCCAGAAGACTGGAAAAAGACAAATATTTATAAATATAAATATTTCCCATTTATAAAAAGAGAAATAAGAACAACCCAGGAAACTACAGACCAGTCAGTTTAACTTCTGTGCCAGGAAAGATAATGGAGCAAGTAATGAAGAAATTCGTCTACAAACACCTGGAAGATAATAAGGTGATAGGTAACAGCCAGCATGGATTTGATAGCTTTCTTTGATAGGATAATGAGTCTTGTAGATAAGGGAGAAGCGATGGACATGGTATACCTAAACATTAATAAGACATTTGATACAGTCTCACATGATCTTCTTATCAATAAAGTAGGCAAATACAACTTAGATGGGGTACTATAAGGTGGGTGTAAAACTGGCTGGTTTTAAGTTTTTAACA